ATCCCAAAAAGATACTAAATGTTTAAATGTTAAAGATGTTAATATAATGTTGAAATATATACCAAAAGCTTTGAAATTTTACTGTTGATCAAGAATTGTGGTTGTATCGAGCATGGGGGTTGGCAAAAAGAAGGAATTGGAAAAGTGATATTATTGACTTCCGGGGCAGAAATGACAAACTGAAGATGGCTGCACCAAAAGCAGAACTGACAACCACGTCGGAATGAAGAGTCAGCGAGTAGACCAACTCTTCGTAATCCCTCTCCCGACAAGGAGAGAACTTGAGATCGCCCACAAATGAAGCATTTGCTTCTTGTGAGGAGACCGCAAGATAGTGGTCTCCTGCAGGTTTAGAGCTCTGGGAAACAAGGGAACAACCATCTTTTTGCTCAAACTGCAGTCAGTGCCTTTGAAAGGACACTGGGTTTGCATACTTCCTTTTCTAATCACTTTCAGAAATTGCTTTTTAACTGCTTTTCTGCTATTAGGAACCCTTGGATCAACCAGTTTTGCAGCACTGGGTGTAAGATTGTAAATCCCAGAATTCTCAAGTGGAAATTGGCGGCCACAGTTCCAGCACATTTGGAAGGCATCAAATGGAGACGCTTGAACTATTGAACGTGAAATAACAATGCTTGAAAATTCTACATGATTTCTAATGGACACTGATCTGATCTACATTACCTGGAGTACAGACTGGAGGTAAATTATTACTTAGATTTCATACTTCTCCAAATGTCATAATGCAGTTCTCAACCCAAAACACATATCCAAATGCATTTTTAAAACCCAGATTTTAAGAAAAATATTTAAAAATGAATGAAAACTAAGAAATAAAATATAATATGTATGTAATTTGTCAGACAATTAAGTTGACTTTTTTTTAAAAAAAAGGAACTTTAAAAACTTGCACATAAAAGCAGAAATGAGTCAGACTAGCGTTATAAATGAACATGCATGAACCACAGAGGAGGAAATAAACTGATCGATATATTGAATCAGGATACACAAGTTCACATTCTAGCTCATCTACACAGTTCTTGCATAGATTGAATCATATCAGTTTAAAACATGAGTATGTTGTCAGAGAGGATGGAACAATGGCTAGATATAAACTCACAAAAGAACTTTGCACTCTAAAAAACCCCAACGGAATGATTAACAAACGTAGTATATTTAGCCTCCTATATTATACAATAATATAAATTGCTATTATCACTAGGTGACAATCATGTATCATCTCATGCAAAGTGTTATCTAATACTGGAACAAAAGTCCAGCTATTACGGTTTCATTGATTATGGGCAACGAGCGGATAAATATACATAGTAGCTCTTGCGTCCCATGAGAGGAAGACCTTATTTTGCCACCATTGTGTAACTGGAGGGGGAAATCAGAGTCCTTTTGCAATATCACAGAATTTGCCTTTTCTCAAAGACTAAATATACCTAACAGGTCATTCAGTCTCTCTTCATGGGATGGCCTTGCCCTTCCCTGAACCTGTTCCAGTTTCTCTGAATTGTTCTTAAAGTGTGGTGACCAAAAGTGGGAAATAATATTTCTGTTGAGATAGTCAAAAATGGCATTTGTCTTCTTTGCAACTACATCTCTCTTACATTTAATTCCTTACCTTCATCTCATTTCTTCAATCTATCAGTCATGCTGAATTTTATTTTTCTCTTCTAAGTATCAGCTATCCCATCCAATCTTGTGGCATTTACAAAGCATTCCCTCCACCTCCTCATCCAAATCATTTATTAAAATATTGAAAGCAAGGATCCAGGATAGATTCTTGGGGCACATCACTTGATACCTCTCTTTAATAAGGAGCCACCGGTGAGCACTCTTTGAGCCAGATACATATCCACTTTACTGTCATGCCATCCAGCTCACACTTAACAAGCTTGGTAATCAGTATATCACAGGGTACTCTATTCAATGCTTTGGTGAAGTCAAGATATATTCTGCATTCCCACAATCTTTTAAGAAAATTTCCTGATCAAAACATGAGATTAAATTAGTATAGCAAGGTTTTTTTTCTCAACAAATCCATACTGACCTCTAGTTACTGTATTTTTTTCAAAATGCCTACACCTCGATCTATATAGTAACCAGCAGGACTAAAAATATTGTGCACTACTGCATATACCTGAAAGGAAAACAACCCTTAACTTAAGATGGCTTTTCTTAAAAAAGGAAAATTAAATAAAAAAAAAATGATCAGCCTCCATTGTCATATTCTCAGTGAATCTAACACAACCTTCCAGTTTTAAAGATAAATTGGGGGG